GGACCAGTGGGGAAACTGAGGCCCAGAACTGGGGTCTCTGACCTTGGCTTTTTTTTTTTGCTTTTTGGTGCAGGGGTGGGTTCAAGGAGGCATCCTCCAATTGGAACTTGGCCCAGCTTGGCGGGGGTCCTGGGTGCTCAAGTCAGGGCCTGGGTGCCGGGGCTGGGCCTGGCCAGGAGCTGCGGCCTCTCTAGAGTCTGAGCAGCTGGGCCCCCCAAGTGCGCCCACCTGAAGAAACCAGGCCACCTGGAGGCGGCAGGGTGGGGGCAGGTGTAATGGCCCCTAGAAAGCAAGCAGATGCTGCCTGAGGCTCCAGGGTAGACGGCCAGACCACCCCTTTCTACCTGCAGCGTGCTTGGCCTCCCCCTCGGCCCACAGGCAGCCTCAGGGCCTTTGCAAGGCCTGTTTCCTTCCTGCGTGGAACCAGCCCCAAGGCACAGTTCCCTTCACCTCACTTCCACAGCAGAGACTGATTTAGGGGCAGTACCTCCTTTCAAAATCCCAGGTGGCCAGAGGTCTGGCCTCTGACCTCAATACTTTGAGGAGGGCCAGGGAGTGGGGCTGATTTGCATATCGCCTGCGGCCCTTTGAGGGCCTGGCCTGGTAAAGGGTGGGGAAAGAGCCCCCTCCATTCGTCCCTGACCCACCTCTCGGGGCTGTCTCACCCCTGCCCACCTCTCCCAGGGGAAGGGCATCCCCACTGGGTGGGCCCTTGCTCTGCTCCACGACCTGGGGAGGCGGGGTGAGCCAGGGCGGGGTGGGCGGCATCCTTGCTGAAAGGGAAAAGTTGGGAGGGCTGGGCTGGAGGCCCCTTTGAGACCACTGCCCACCCCGCGGAAGATGTGCCCAGTGAGGCACGCGGCCTAGGTGTGGGACCCCCCACTCTGCTCGTATCGGGGACTGCCCGAGGGGGGGGAGGGCGTCGTCTCCTGTCCACCCAGGCGGTGGTGGGCTGGGGGTGGGTCTCCGACTGATGTCTTTGGACCAAAGCCGGGTCAGGGGTCAGTCACTGCTGGGGTCTCTTGCCCTCCCTCTGGGTGGCTCCTCCCTGTACCTCACCAGGGCCTGACCCCGGAATCCTCTGCTGTGAGGCGGGGGCATGAAATGACTGCTCTCAACCCCCGACCTGGTGCCAGCACCCAGCGCTGTCGTGTGTGTTTTGGTGTTCCATTTCCGTCCCCACACAGCCCCACAGTCCCGGTGTGCTGGGTGGCCTGAAGCACAGACCGGCTTCCTCTCTCCTCCGGGGGGAGAGGACAAGCCGCACCTGCAGGCACCCCTCCTGGCCCAGCCCCCGGCCCCTGTGGGGCTGCCCCCCGAGCTGCCTGAGGGTCCTGGCGGTGGTTCACAAGCAGGGCACCTTAAAGGAACATAGACCGACTCTAGACCTAGGTTCTGGGGTCAGAGGCCGGAATGGACCTCACTGGGCTAAGTCAGGGCGTGGGCGGGGCGGCTTCCTGGGGAGGCTCGGAGAACTGGCCCTTCTCTGCCAGCCCTGGGGCGTCCGGCCTGGAGACTAAAGAAACTGCCACGGAATTGAGACCTGTAGACTTGCTGGTGGTGAACTCACACGGTTTGGGAACGCTTGAGCAAGGTGTGTGTGAATGCGATATACTAGTCCTTTGTCCAAACACTGGGCTTTATTTGCTCGTGTTTTATTTAGGATTTCTGTACCTCTGAACGTGAGAGGCCCCTGTGAGGGTCATGCCACGTTGGTGTGTTGTGGCTGTGCTTGTCACGTGGAAAATGCCGCCTCCCCAGTGAACAGCACACAGCTTCTCTGTCCCCAAACACCTTTGGGAACACTGTTTGAATTGATAAAACATTAAAAGGGGAGTCTCAGCTTCGGGCCGCCGTGCTTGGGACTGGCAGTGCCGGGCGCGGGGCGCTCTGCAGCCACCTCGCCGGGCCGGGGCAACGGCCTGAGACGAGGCTGGGGGCCGCGGCGAACGGAGCTCAACAGAAGAACCGTGAAGGCTCTGTGGAATCTGCAAATCCCCCAAATCAAGTCTACAGAAAATCAGTGAAGAGAGGGTTTGAATTCACACTATGGTTGTGAATCTGGACTGGGAAAGTCAACATTAATCAACTCGTTATTCTTCACAGATTTGTATTCTCCAGGGTATCCAGGTCCTTCTCATAGAATAAAAAAGACTGTACAGGTGGAACAATCCAAAGTTTTAATCAAAGAAGGTGGTGTTCAGTTGCTGCTCACAATAGTTGACACCCCAGGACTTGGAGATGCAGTGGATAATAGTCATTGCCGGCAGCCTGTTACTGACCACATTGATAGTACATTTGAGGACTACCCAAATGCAGAATCTCGAGTGGACAGACGGCAGATGCCTGATAACAGGGTGCAGTGGTGTTTATACTTCATTGCTCCTTCAGGACATGGACTTAAAACCATTGGATACTGAGTTTATGAAGTGTTTGCATAAAAAAGTGAATATCATTCCACCTACTGCCAAAGCAGACCTCCTCACACCAGAGGAATGCCAGCAGTTTAAAAAACAGATAATGAAAGAAATCCAAGAACATAAAATTAAAATATATGAGTTTCCAGAGACAGATGATGAAGAAGAAAACAAGCTTGTTAAAAAGATAAAGGACCGTTTCCCTCTTGGTGTGGTAGGTAGTGATGCTATCATTGAATTTAATGGCAAACGGGTCAGAGGAAGACAGTAGTGTCCTTGGGGTGCTGCTGAAGCTGAAAATGGTGAACATTGTGATTTCACAATTCTAAGAAATATGTTGATAAGAACACATATGCAGGACTTGAAAGATGTCACTAATAATGTACACTATGAAAACTACCGGAGCAGAAAACTGGCAGCTGTGACTTGAAGTGGAGCTGATAATAACAAGCCTAAAGGGCAGCTCACTAAGAGCTCACTTGCACAAATGGAAGAAGAAAGAAGGGCACATGTAGCTAAGATGAAGAAAATGGAGATGGAGATGGAGCAGGCGTTTGAGATGAAGGTCAAAGAAAAAGTTCAAAAACTGAGGGACTGTGAAGCTCAGCTCCAAAGGCGCCATGAGCAAACAAAAAAGAATCTGGAAGCCCAGCCCAAAGAAATAGAGGGAAAACGTCATCAGTTTGAAGTTGACAAAGCAAACTGGGAAGCCCAGCAACGTATTTTAGAACAACAGAGCTCTTCAAGGACCTTGGAAAAGAGCAAGAAGAAGGGGGAGATCTTTTACACCCTCAGTTAACCACCAGGTACGTATTAGTTGCCAGTATGCCAGCTTAGACATCAGCGTTGGTTGGATCCATTCGACCAGTCTGCACCGGTTTTAATCCTTAATGGCGGATTTAACAGCATGAAAAATTATTATTCTTTGTTCTTGATGGAGATTAAGATGCCTTGAATTGTCTAGGGTGTTGTGTACTTAGAAACTAACAGCTCTAAGTACCTTTCCTACATTCTCTTTTCTTTTTTATTAAACAGATGTCTTCAATTTAATGCAAGAAAACATTTTACTGTTGTACAGTCGTGTTCTGGTGGTTTGATTGTTTACAGGATAGTCCGAAATAAAAGGAGTCTGGAAAGTTCTCATTGAGGATAAATCGCCATAATGTGATGCAAACTGTTCTTCTCTATAATAAATAAAATACAAAGGTCCCACTCAGTGCAGCGTGTACAATAATGTGATTCAGTCTAACACAGTCGACCCTATTTTTTGACACTTCCATTGTTTAAAAATGCACATGGAAAAAAACCCTATATGCTTGCAATGCACCTAGAGCTTTTTTATAACAAACTTTTGTTTGTGTGTTTGTTTTGGATTCTTTACATATATATTCTCACTTAGTGCCCTCTTTAGTCAGAATCTCATTACTGCTTCATTTTTGTAATAACATTTAATTTAGGTATTTTCCATATATTGGTCCTGCTAAAATAGAATATAGCATCTTTCATATGTTAGGAACCAAAAAGAAAACTTTCCTTTAATTCCCTTTTTACACTTCATGGTAAGTAGCAGGGGGAGGAAATCATTTATAGTTCATTTCTAGGCAAAATTGTGCAGCTAATGAGCAACCTATTTCTACCTATGTGCAGTCTATTTTACTAGAATTGGGAATCATGACCTCTTGAAAAGGAAAAAAAAAAGTCACCATTCTGCATTTAGCTGTATTCATATATGCATTTCTGTATTTTTTTCGTTTGTATTATAAAAAATTCACATGATAAATAATGTTGTGATGTAAAAAAAAAAAACATTAGAAGGTTGCGCACTCTGCCTCCACCCTGCTTCCTGGTGTTTTCCGGATACCGTGTGTCTGAGCAGGCGATGCCGATTCTCAGGCCCGCAGGGCCCTCCCCTGGGTGGCGTGCAGCCCCCTGTTTCCCCTTGGGTGTGTCGTGTGGGGGTTCTTTGTCCACCCAGTACCACTTGGTGGGCATTTCAGTGGCGTCTGTTTTGCTGGCGTACTTCGGTGGGAAAGCTGGTGGACAGCCTGGTGGGTGCCATCCTGTGGTGGGGCCACTCCCGCATCAGCCCTGCCAGGTGGGCTGCGTCGGGCCCAGCCTTCCACCTCCCTCCACCTGGGGAAGCTTGCATCCCGTTCAGTGTCTCCGCCAGCCTGGGGGTCTGGTCGTCCGTGCACCTGCTCCTGGTTCCCCAGCTGCAGGCAGCAGCGTGTGCTGTGGCTTTAGTGCGGGTGGGCTTGGTGGGCACCCCACTGCCATTGCCTGGTCCCCAGGATCTCAGCGGCCCTGTGGGTACAGTTTCCAATCCCTTTGGTGGCCCTGCAGATTCCACAAGCCAGGCCAGGAAGTCCCCAGACCAAGTCACCTTCACTCTGCCTGTGAGCCTCTGCGGGGCGCCCCAGAAACCCCTACGAGCTTGTGGGCCCTGCTCCGTAGGTGCCAGCAGGCTGGGCCTCTGCTTGGTGCGGGGCTTGAGGCCTGCGGTGAGGCTCCAGCTGCTCTTTGGGCCCCTGGCTGCCTCCTCCGCCGGCCTGCTGATTGCCGCTTCTCCCTCTCCTGTTTCAGGGTTGGGCTACGACCCGTGCAGCCCCGAGCTGCCCAAGCCCCCTGTGCAGAGGGAGAATGGTGCCCCACCCAGAGAGGGTGATCCCCGCTCGGGCATCCTGGAGCTAGAGCTGGTCAGCCGGGCCATCGAGGCCGTGCGCTCCGAGGTGGAGCTTGAGCAGCGGCGGTACCAGGAGCTGCTGGAGACGGCCCGCGGGTGCAGCGCAGCTGAGGCCCCCGCCCTGGCGCCCCGCGGCCCTGCCGCCGGCCTGGACGATGACACCTTCCCGCTGTCCTTCGATTACAACCCTGGTGGCTGCAGCCTGCTGAGCCCCAACCCCAGCTACCAGCCCACCCCGCTGGCCGCGCCTGCCGAGCTGGGCAGCAAGTACTCGTTGGACCAGGCTCAGGGCCACGGCGGAGGGGGCGGCGGCACCCTGGAGTATGTCCCCAAGGCCGTGGGCCAGTCCCGGAGGTATGGGCGCCCTGTCCCCAGCAGCAAGTATGTGCTGGACGACTCCAAGCCATCCACGGACCTGGAGTACGACCCGCTGTCCAACTTCTCTGCCCGGCTGCTCAGCAGGGCCAGCTGCAGGGACGAAAGGGCCCCCAAGCGGCCCTGCGGCCCCCGTGGCAGCGAGCCCTACACACCTGTGCTTAAGAAGCCCTATGACCCCTTCGGTGGCTGTGACGCCAGGTTCTCCGACTCGGATGACGACGCCACAGCACCGGGTGACAGGCCTGCTACCGCCAGCCCCCCGCAAACCCCTGTGGGCACGGAGGACAAGGGCCCAGAGAAGCCAGGCCCTGGAGAGGGCCGGGAGCCCGAAGAGGGCAGCCTGCGGGAGACCAAGGAGATGGCCGTGCAGTGCGATGTGGGGGACCTTGGGCAGCCTCCCCAGGCCCCTCAGCCGGCGCCACGAGCCACGCCCAGCTGCCCCACCAGCGCGCAGGAGCCCAGTGGTACCAAGGAGGGGAGACCCAAGAGGAGGAACAGTGCGGAAGGGGCCCGGAGGAAAGATGGGGGTAAGGAAGGTGAGCGCGGGAGGCCGGCTGAGAAGCCGTGTGTGGACAAGAGGGGCCCGCAGGGCAGCAGCCCCCGGCACGGGGCAGAGCGGCCCGAAGGGACCAAGAAAAAGCCATCTCCTGCCACCCCAGTGGCCAGCTCAGGGAAAGGCCGGCCTGGCCGGCCAGGGCCACGGCCCAACCCCACAAGCGGGGGTGCCCTCCAGCCACCGAACAGGAAGGGCGGGAAGGCCCCATCAGGGAAGCTGGCAGAGCGGAAGGCCCGCTCGCTGGACGAGGGCGCCTCCCGGGGTGCCCCCAAGCTGCAGAAGCGGGCCCTGAGCCACGCTGACCTTTTTGGGGATGAGAGTGAAGACGAGGGCCCGGGGCCCATGGCGCCTGCACCCCAGCCCCCCACCCTCGCCTGCCTCGGCTCCAGCTCGGACTCGGACTCGGACTCCAGCCTGGGCCTGCCTGCCGCGCGGGGGCCGCACAAGCGCCTCAAGGCCTTCCTGCCCCCCTTGCCCGCCCCGGCCTCCCCCTCCTCCTCTGCGTCCTCGGGGGCGGGCATGGACGTGGACTACTTGGCCCTGGAGAAGGAGGTGGATTTCGACTCGGACCCCATGGAGGAGTGCCTACGCATTTTCAACGAGTCCACCAGTGTCAAGACGGAGGACAGGGGCCGCCTGGCCCGGCAGGTGAGGGTCCGTGCTGGGTGGGGGGGCCGGCCCCCGGCTCGGTTCCCAGGGCTTGTGTGCCAGGATGGGGCGCTGCCTCAGTGTCGGCCTCTTAACTCGTTCAGAATTCAGGAGGCGTCGGTGGCTGCCTGCTGCCCCGCTGCACCCCGTCCAGAAAGAGGACGCTGGCTTACAGCCAGCCTGGCCGGGTTCCTGTGGCAGTGTCCGAGCGTGCTCCAGCAGAGGGGTATCAGGCGCCGGCCGCCCCCCAGGCCCTCCCCGCTCCCTCTCCTCCCCGCAAGGCCAGCCCCCGCCCGTCTGGGCACCCTTGTCCGGTGTCCCCACATAGGCCGGCAGAGGGAGCCCAGCCTGCAGACCAAGCAGGACGCGCTGTCCCTCCCAGCGGCCTCTGCAGTTCACAGAGCTGGCCCGGCTCACAGCTTTTTGAGGCCTCGCTGCTCCAGTTTTGTGCCCTTGTGCCCCCAGTTCTGAGCCCCACCCACCCTGTGTGGGCAGTGGTCGGGGGCACTGCAGGCCGTCCGTCCAGGGTGGGATTGCTTCAGCTGAGGCCTGTGGTGACCTGGGGGCTGGGGCATGTCTGCAGAACTCGGCCTTGGCAGGGCCTGGAAGGTGGGAGGTGGGCCTGGGATGAGGCCGGCACAGGGCCCTGGCTGTGGGGTCTAATCTGCCCCCCGGCCCTCAGGGCGTATGCCTGGGCGCACCTGCCGGCTGGAGGCAAGACCCCGAGTGGCGCCTCAGGCCATGGCAGCTCCTCCCAGAGCACGTGACTGGCCCCCACCCCTAAGCCAGCCGGCCTGGGAGTGGGTGCTCCCACGTTCAGGGTGCAGCAGGAGCCCCCTGTGTCAGCAGAGTAGGGAAGCCCTGGCGGGGAGCCTTGCTGAGGGCTGGGCCTTGTTTCAGCCCCTCAAGGAGGAGAAGACCGAGGACAAGGGGCCCTTGGGCCTGACCACTCTGTTCCCTGGGCAGAAGCGGAGAATCTCTCATCTCTCCAAGCAAGGCACAGAGGTGAGGGTCTGCTCCTGGGTCCAGGCAGAGGCCGGCCCGAGGGCCCTGCGTTCCTCTCTGATGGCTGCCCTGGCAGACGGTGTCCCGTCAGAGGGTGCCTGCAGCCCACGGGCAGTCCTGAGGTGCCCAGAGCTGGGGAGCAGGGCCCCAAGGAAGGCGAGATGAGGGTTGGTGCGAGTGGCAGCCCTCCAGGGCTCTGTCCACCCCGGTCCCAGCTGTGAGGCGTGCGGTATGGCCCGGAGATGAGGACAGTGCTGTGGGCCGAGTGGGCACAGGGAAGCCTGGGGCAGAGGACAGGCTCCAGGCCAAGCCCTCGGAGCTCTTGTTGACTGAGTCACCAGACCCTTCCATGCAGCCCTCGTCCAGAGAGGATCAGGGAGTGGGATTGGATTGGCACCAATCTGATTGGGCCTTCAGAACCAGAGCCGTGAGAGCGGGGCGGCGCAGGCTGCATGGGACAGCCCAGTGACCGGAGTGTGCCGGCCAGCACGTGGAGGTGGTTGGTTCCCACCAGGCTCTCCGCAGGAGCTGAAGGAGAAGCAGTGTGGGCCTGCCCAGCCCCACCCCCGGAGCCCTGGCCACCCACCCCAGGCCCTCCTGTCAGCCTGCCCCTCTGGGTAGCATGCTCTGGGTGCCCCTGATGTACAGCCAGGCCCTGAAATTTGTCATCACCCAGGCAGAGCCTGCGAGGAGAGGCCCAGTGCCCCCTGCCCGCCCCCCAACCGCCCAGGAGGTGTGCTACCGCCGGGCCCAGCAGGCGCAGAGGGAGTCCGCCAGCTGGCTGCAGGCTGCCCAGCGGCCTGCCAAGAAGCCGTCCTCCATCCACATCTCCGCTCCCGGGGAGAAGAGGAGAGTGGCCCACGTCCCCAGCCCCCGCCTGGCCGCAGGTGAGTCCCAGGGCCCAGGGTCTGGGGGCTGTTTCTCCTCGTCAGGCAAGAGCCCAGGCCAGGCTCCCCTTCCGCCAGTGGCAGTGTCCTTGAGCAGGGCCCACGGGCCTCGGCGTGCTTGTCTGCAAAACAGGGAAAACAGCTTCTGCGACTGTTAGCAGGGGGTGGCTCAGCGGGTGAGCTGCTTGTGGTGGGGCTGGCTCCTCCCCGTCCCGTCTGTCCGCAGGACCTGGAGCACCAGGCCTCGACCCAGAGGCCCCCCGTGACTCCCACCCCGTCCGGGCCTCCCCCGGGGCCCTGGGCTGTCAGGCGCCGGCGGGGCTGCCTTAGGGTGGTGTGACCTGGGAGGCCGACTGGCCCTGATCGTGCTGTACCAGCCGTCTGTGTGTGGGGGTCGCTGGGTTCCGTATCTCGTCTTCTGGCTCTGAGGGCACTTTCTCCATTTGGCCTTGATTGAAAGTTGCAGTGTCTTGGCCTTGTGACGGGCTAGCAGCCTTCAGTGGGTGCGCGGGGGGGCCCCTGCAGCTGGGGACGTGGGACAGAGCACCAGGGCTACCCAGAGGGCGTGTTCACCAGCAGACTAGGCTCCCCTTGCGGTGGGGTGGCCTCCATCCGATCGGTGCCCAGGGCCCCCTCTCTGCTTGTTCAGATGCCCTTGGATCGCAGAGCCTCCCCTGGCACTGTGAACCTTCTTCAGGAGAAGCTCTCCAGGTCCTGACCCTCCCTCCCCTCCCAGAGCACCTGGGCTGCAGCCTGGCAGCTGGTGGGGTCTGTGCTGCTTTGGGTGCTGCTTTGGGTGCTGGCTTGGCTCTGGGAGGAGCTAACCCTGACCTGTGCAGGCCTTGAGACCCACACTCAGGCCGGCCCGCGCACACAGTCCCACAGTCACGGCAGGCTCGGGACGGGTTGCCACGGTGGTCACCACAGGACAGGACAGCAGGCAGCTTCCCTGGGAGCAGGGGGCTCACCTGAAGTTTTAGGGGTTCTATCTGATGCTTCGTGCTCACTCCCCTTTCCACACACACCCCCAGCACGGTGGGGAATGTCTGTGTCTAAGCGGGCCCAGAGCTTCCCTGCGTCAGAGGAAGGAGGGCATCCTGCCCAGCCAGCAGCTCCCTGCCTTCCTGCATTGCCCTCGAGGGCCGCCCTGGTGGGGATGGGTGGCAGCTTTAGCCCCCGGCCCCAGTCCTTTCCCAAGGAGTCAGGGACCTGGGCCCTTGGCTCTGAGCCTCCGTCTCCTTATCTGCTCCTCTGCCTTCCTCAGGGCGGAACCCAGAGGAGGTTGGTCAGAAGTGTCCACGCACACACACGCACCCTTACCCTGGCCCTCTGCCACTGCCCGGACCCCTCGGAAACAGCCCTGCAGGCGGGCGCCCTCCTCTCTGGGGGCAGGAGACTGGCTTGTGACCTCATCAAAGGAGAGGCAGGACGCAGAGGCTGAGGCGGGCGGGCCTCTGGTCACGGTGGCCAGGCTGGGATATCCCCATGCCCTCTGGTCCTCAGCCCAGGAGCCGGGGCTCTTCCTCCTTTAGACGCCTGTGCCTCAGAGTCACGGGCCGGAACACGTGGCAGAGCCCTCCCAAGCCCCCTGCCACTTGCCGGACCGCCCTGGCGGCAACACTGCCTGAGTTGGCCCCTGGAGCCCCACTTGTGTTTCCCCCTCTCCGTGGACCTGCCCAAAAGCGGATAGAGCCTAATGTCCTTGCGCAGCCCATGCTCCAGACCCCAGCCCTTCCCCCTGTGCTCCGAAATGTGCGTCCTGCTGCTGCTCAACCCCCAGGGCTGCCGGGTGCTTTGCAGCTCGGTGACAGGCGTGCGCGCCCCCTGCACTCACACCCCCTACCCCCCGCCAGCCCCCACAGGTGCCGGCAGCAGCCAGTCTCCCAATGGCCCTGAGCCAGGCAGCCAGCCCCTGAAGACCCGCACATTGTCGGGCATGGCATCCAAGACCACCACCACGGTCATCCCCAGGCGTGTGGCGCACAGCCCGTCTTTGCAGGTACCCCCACCCCGGGTGTCCCGTAGGTTCTAAGAGGTACATCTGAGTCCCAGGCAGGGGCCTCCACCTCTGGGGGTTCTGTCTCCTCTAGAGTTTAAAGAAGCCCATTATCCCAAAAGAGTTTGGGGGCAAAGTCCCCACTGTCATCCGCCAGCGGTATCTCAACCTGTTCATCGAGGAGTGCCTCAAATTTTGTCCCTCCAACCAAGAAGCCATAGAGAGGGTACGTGACCCTGGGTCGTGGCCTCTGGCTGGGCTGAGGGTCTGGCATGGGCCACTGGGACATCTTCCCTGGGCTGCTGGGAGGGACACGCAGGGCTGAGTGGTGTCTCTCTGCAGGCACTGACTGAGGAGAAGGTGGCTTATGACCGCAGCCCCAGCAAGAACATCTACCTGAGCGTCGCCGTGAACGCCCTGAAGAGGCTGCGGGGCCTGGCCCCTGGCCCCGTGCCCGGCGTCAGCAGTAAGCCAGGGCTGGGGTGGCTGGGCAGGGGCTGGGCCCTTGGGCCCTTTCTGCAGCTCTGAGCCGGTGGGCCTCAGGCAGGCTGAGAGCCGTGTGACGCCCCTGCTCGCTGGCTTGTCTCCGTGGCCGGACGGGGCCCTCCATGCAGCCTCTCCCTGCCCTCTACCGCCCTCCTCAGATCTCTGGGTCTTGAGCCGAGGGGCCGCCCGCTATTGGGGCAGCCTCTTCAAAGGCAGGCTCGGTGGACCTGCTCTGTGCATGAGGCTCCGAGGATGGGCCAGGAGGGTGTCGGCAGCTGTGGGCACGGCCCCCTCTCCTGCTTACTGCGTTCTCCGCAGAGCCCGAAGGCGTCAGCTGTGTGTTGGAGTCTTTCCTTTCTGGGGGGAGGGCGGAGAGGGAGGCCTGTAGGCAGCAAGACCTGCTGGTCCCTAGTTGGGGGGGTGCATGGAGACTGTACCCACATCCCCTGAGCCAGGCCTTTCCTGATGAGAGGCCCCGAGGGAGGGACGCACGGGGAGGGATGCGGGAGTCTGAGGCTAGTTCATCCTCCCCTCTTCTAGAAGCCAGCAGCCGGAAGGTGGTGTCCCATGAGGTGATGCTGGGGGGCAAGTTAGCCGCCAAGACGAGCTTCTCACTCAGCCGCCCAAGCAGCCCCCGGGTGGAGGACCTGAAAGGTGAGCCTGGCTCCCTCGGGTGCAGCTTGCCGCCTGGGGCGTAGCAGCAGCCCCCACACGGCTGCCCCACCTGGCCCAGCTGTGGGCTGACTGCCCCCCGCCACCCCCAGGGGCCGCCCTGTACGGCCGCCTCAAGGAGTACCTGCTCACCGAGGACCAGCTCAAGGAGAACGGTTACCCGTTCCCGCACCCTGGGCGGCCAGGCGGCGCCCTCGTCTTCACGGCTGAGGAGAAGAAGCCCAAGGACTGTGAGTCGCGGCCGCGTGGGGCTGGGCTGCGCGTCGGGGGCCAGCATGGGTGCGGTGCGCGCGGAGGGGCGGCCCCCTGATGCCGGCCGTCCCGGCCCCCACAGCCTCCTGCAGGATCTGCTGCCGCTGTGGCGCCGAGTACCTCGTGTCGCCCTCGGGCCGCTGCGTGCGGGACGAGGAGTGTTCCTACCACTGGGGGCGGCTCCGACGGAACCGAGGTGAGACCCGGGCCCCTCCCTCTGACCCCAGTTTAGTCTCTGCCATTTGTTTTTTGTGCCAAAGGCAGTATGAATGGCTTCCCGTGACCGGCTTCCCGGGCCCGGTGCCCAGGGGGCCACCTGCCTGCACGGGGAGGCCCGTCCTGGCCCGTGGCTGCGTCCAGTCGCCCGGCTCGCGCTCTGGGGACACTCGTGTTCTCAAGCTGCCTGCCAGCCTCCTGCACACCCATCTCTGCCGGGCATGTGGGGTATCATCCCCACCTTCCTGTGGGGACCCGTGTCTGGGCGTGAACCCACTGCGAAACCAGGGAGGGCCCTCCTGTCCCAAATCCTCTCCCCTTCGTGGAGCCTGCTACCTCCCAGGACAGGGGGCTCCCACTCCCTTGGTCCAGGGCGGGGGCCTGTCTGGGAAGCCCCTGCCCCACTCAGGCAGCCGGTACCAGAGCCACCTGCGGGAGGCGGGATGGGGCCTGGTGGCTGGACGGGCCCTGACCGCGTCTCACTCTCAGTGGCCGGTGGCTGGGAGACCCAGTACCTGTGCTGCTCAGCCGCCGTTGGCTCCACCGGCTGCCAGGTCGCCAAGGTAGGTCTACTGGGCCCTGCTTGGAGCGCCCCCCAACCTTGAGGGGCTGAGGTACGGCCCAGGCTGGAGCCCTGAGCCCCCCTCCTCCTGCCTTGGGTCCGCCCGGTTGTTGGCTTTTCCTGAGGCCCCTCCTGCCGCAGCCCCCGAGCCTGCACCCTCACCTCCGCCCCCCGCCCCCGCTCCCAGCAACACGTGCAGGATGGCCGGAAGGAAAACCTCGAAGGCTTCGTGAAGACCTTCGATAAAGAGCTTTCAGAAGATGCCCACCCAGGAATATTTGCCCTCGACTGTGAAATGGTGAGTCACCCAGCAGCCACTACGGGCGCCCACCAGGCCCTCCCTGCTGCTCAGGACCACAGGCATCCTGGCCGCCGCGTGCCGTCCCTGCCCCTCCGCCCGAGCCCTAAGGCAGTGCAGGTCTTGGGGTAAAGAGCAGGTGACAGCGGGACAGCAGACAGGTCCCAGCCCCGGCGTGCATGGAGCCGTGTCTGGCACCTTCGGGCCTTGCCAGCGCCTGCCCGCCCGTGCCTGGATCCCTGCCTGCACCCGTCACACGCTGTGCAGGGTCTGTGTGGGCTCTGGGAAGGGGCGCCCCAGGTCCACTCGCTCCAGTGGCCACAGGAGCCCAAAGGTCTCTGGCCCAGTTGGCGAATCTGTCTGAAAGGGGCCCGGGCACGTGGTAGGCGGGGCCTGGGTGGCAGGGGAGGTGGAGTTGAGGGTGAATCCCTGGCCCTGCAGTCCTACACCACCTACGGCCTGGAGCTGACGCGCGTCACAGTGGTGGACACGGACATGCACGTCGTTTACGACACCTTCGTCAAGCCGGACAATGAGATCGTGGACTACAACACCAGGTAGGGCCCTAGCCCTGCCCACATGCACTCAAGCCGTGCTCAGCCCACCCAGCTGCCAGGTGGGGCCCTGGTGCCCTCCCAGCTGCCCTCAGGACCCTGTACCTCCCACTCCAGGTTTTCAGGGGTGACTGAGGCTGACCTTGCCGATACGAGCATCTCTCTCCGGGACGTCCAGGCTGTCCTGCTGAGCATGTTCAGCGCTGACACCATCCTCATCGGACACAGCCTGGAGAGCGACCTGCTGGCCTTGAAGGTGCCCAACTGCCCTGGCCCCGCTCACAGCAGGCCCCATGCCCGCGGGTAGGGGGTAGGGTCCGTGTCTGCAGCCTGCCTCTCTCCGTGGCCACACTACCCCGGAGCCCCTGGGCCCTGGGCGCCGAGTCCCACCTGGCCATGCGTCCCTAGGTCATCCACAGCACCGTGGTGGACACGGCTTTGCTCTTCCCACACCGCCTGGGCCTGCCGTACAAGCGCTCCCTGAGGACCCTCATGGCCGACTACCTCAGACAGATCATCCAGGACAACGGTGAGGGCCCGGCAGGGGCCGGGGGACAGGGCGGGGGGCCCAGCAGCCAGGCCGGCCCCTCCTGACACGGCGCTGTTCCGCAGTGGACGGGCACAGCTCCAGTGAGGATGCCAGCGCCTGCATGCACCTGGTGATCTGGAAGATCCGAGAAGACGCCAAGACCAAGCGGTGACCGGCGCCCACTTCCCCCGCTGCCCCGGCCCACCCTCTGCCCCAGGCCTCTTCCAAACAGTGCAATAAACCTCGGGAGCTGACCGTGTCCCCGTCGCTGAGACTGAAGACCGAGAGTGGGCAAGCAGCAGCACGAGAGCCACCGGAGTCCCCGCGGCCCCGCTCAGCCCCGTCCCCTCCACCCTGGACCCCTCCCTTCAGGCTGCTGCTGCCGCGAGGGCCGCCGCGTCCCCCACCCCTTAAGACCACCCGCCCCCGCCCCCACCTCCAGGGCCGTGCAGGTTTGAGACGGGGTCGTCCTTTTTTATTTTGTATTTTTATTATCTTTAATTTAAGCCTGATGACTTGCACAGTTGTCTTTCCCACCTGGAGCAGCAGGACCCTGGTGCTGCCTGCCTTCCTGGGCCGGGGTTGGCCAGCCGGCTGGGCACAGGAGCCCCCTTCCCTGGCGCAGCCTACCTGGACTGCAGGACCTCTGGGAACCAAGCCAGTCCCCCCACCCTCCCCCCAGGCCTCACCGGAGCCCCTGCCCTTCTCACGAGGCTGTGTGTAAAGGCCCACAGCCCAGTGCCCTGACCCCCTCCCCCAGCCCCAACAGGGACAGAATAAATGTTTGTATGGATTTTAGACCTGGCATCTGGTCCTGTTCTTGGTGAGGCCGCTGCTGGGGAGCAGGGTGGGAACCTGGCTCACCTCCCTGAGAACCAGCTTCTGTCCCAACCCACGTCGGGCCGCCAGCCTGCCCGGGGAAGCAGGCCCTGAGCCCTGTGGCCTTGCCTCGGGGACCACAGTGCAGCCGGTGGCCAAGGCCTGCACGTGCAGCCGTGTTTGCTTGCTGCCCTGTCTGCCTGTGGGGGGCAGGGGGTGGGGGAGGAGACCTGGACAGCCACTGCCTTGCATCTGGGAAGCTACCATGGGAAGGGCGGTGGCCACTGGCCCCCTGTGCACCTGTCCCACTCCCAGAAAAGCCAGGATGCCCACAAGGCTCACAGCACATCCTCATCTGCCTGGGCTCCAGCTCTGATCCGTGACTCTGCCTTGGCACAGGGCACCGGGGGCACAGCTGGATGACCCTCCCTTGTGACCCGCAGGAGCTGTACAGCAGGACTGAATACTACACTGCAAGGCCTACACTGCAGGCACTGAGCTCCTGGCTCCAGTCATGCCTGTGGTCATCAGGCAATTTGATGCCAGGCCCGGGGCTTAGGCGGGTCCTTCTGGCAGTCCTGTCCACGCAGCGCAGCTCCTGGGGTAGGGGAGACTCTCAGGAGGGGTGCTGGTTCGGTGCTGAGAGGTCTGGGCTCACTGGGGCCTCTCTCCTCCCCAAAGCTCACTCTCCTGCCCCCTCCAGGCCCTTATGTTTAACTCTCTTTTTAGTGCTATAGGAACTATCTTTTCGTATTTGTTGAGTGGATAAATGAATGCACATGCATGTGGGCGTGTGTTTTTCCCATCTGGTACTCAGTTTCCCCAAGAAGAAAATGGGCAGGTGACTTCTCAGTGGGCCTCCTGTTCTGGGAGGAGCCCACTGTACCCATGCCCTTGGAAGAGGGTGTGGACGGTGCTCAGATGGCGTGGGGGTGGGGGCAGTCCAGTGTCCTGGGGCCCAGAAGGATCCGATTTGCACGAAGAGCTCTGTGGGAGGGGAGCTGAGCTGCCTGTGCGACCTTCAGCAGGCTATGCCCTCTCTGCGCTCTTCCTCGGCCTGGCCTCCGTGAATCGGGAATAGGGGGACCACTTCCTAAGGAAGGAAGTGATGTGCACTCAGCTGATGGGCCCCCTCGAACTTCTTCCCCCCACTTAGCCCCCTGTCCTGTCTCTGGCCCCGATGGGCTGTTTTCTTGTTTTCCCCTCTGAAGGTTTTAGTCTGATGGTGGAGACAGACTCATTTGCGATTCTAAGGGGCAGAGCCACAGGAGCCTCCAGCTTCGCCCAGGTCCTCATTTGCTCCTTCGACTCCCAGCACTTACCCCGGCCACGCCCCCAACCTGACATGACGGCTGCGGGTTCCAGTTTGAGCCCCACGTCCTGGCGTCAGCGCCCCGGGGCAGCTCCCAGCCTGTGGCGGCTGCCGTGGGCTTCATCCTCCAACCGAAAGAATCGGCACTATTTTCAGCCCCATTTCACAGATGGGGAAACTGAGGTACGATCGCTCTAGGCCACCCGGACTGAGACCCAGATTTGTTGGGCTGAAGAGCTCACACTTCTAACTCATCGCTTCAGCCGGACTCTGCTGTTTAAATGTCTCAAGTGTTGACTCACAGCGTGCTTGCGAACACCATCTCGTTGAATTTCCCCTGCTCAGTTCTTCCTTCCAGAAATGAGGCATGGAAGCTCAGAATCCAGAAATTATTTACCAACTGCAACCGTGGGCGAGCTCCTTAACCTCTGAGCCTCAATTTTCTTGTTTTTGCAAAATAGCCTCATTGTATACTTGTGAGCTAATCCATGAGGGATCCTTAGAACAGCACCTACATGGGCTGGGTAAGAAATGTTAGCTATTGGTACAATCTTTCTAATTCACTTGTTTACCTTTTGCATGTTGTATTTTTAATTTTAATAACTACCATTACCGTTCATATTATAACATGGCATATATAATGCTATAATGAATATACAGTGTATTGAATAAATACCTATCTCTACAATACCTACTGTGGGCCAGGCACTATTAACATCCTGCAAGGATCCACACCCCCATTTCATAGATGAAGAAACTGAGGCTCGGAGAGGTGAATTCATGCAGGGAGATGTTAGGACTGACACACAACTCTCAGCATCACTCCGGGAGTCTGGGTGAAGGCGTCTCAGCCTCATGCTCCCCGGGGTCCCGGGGCGTCCCCAGCCCTAGAAACTCACTCCTGTCCTGCCACTGTCTCATCTGGCAGATTCGGGTGTCCGTGGATTCTGACTCGGCCCCTGTGAGCCCCCTTGACCGCCGCGTCATCTGTGATTGGAATCCGGACCTGAGCACCACCTTCTGAATAAGGAAGGGCATGAATCGTTCAGCGCCCGAGGGTGGACTGCGATGTGCAGCCTCTAAGATGGCCGCCGGCGACCCCCGTCTCCTGGAACGTGCACCTTTGTATAACTTCCTCCTGTAAGTGTGGAACGGACTTGCTGGGCGCTTCTAATGACTAGAATGTGGCAGAAAGGATGCCATGTGTCTTCTGATGTTAAATTATGAAAGCACTGTGGTTTCCCTCTCACACACTCTCTGTCTCTACTCACCCTGGGCAAGCCAGCTGCCGAGTCTTGAGGGAGTCCTGTGGAGAAGCCCATGTGGTGGGGGACAAAAGCCTGACAGTGATTATGTGAGTAAGGTTGTAAGATGTCTCCCGACACACGTACACACACAGGTCGACCCTTCAGATGGAACCTCCGGCCAAGCCAGTGCCTTGATTGCAACCTCGTGGAAAACCTTGAGCCCACTAGCCCATGACCGGATCCCGACCTGCAAACATTCGGATGTGATCAAGGCTTTAAACACAAAAAGAGGAGAAAGACAAAGAGAAGTGGGGAGGAAAAAGGGAACAAGAAAGGGCATTTGGCTTAAGAGTCGGAAGATGCTGACGAACTGCTCAACCTTGGTCTCCTAGCGTTCTCCCAGGTCGCCGAAGTGGATGCTGTTGGTCTCCGCCCCAAACCCTTCCACCAGGACGGGTGGACCCATTTCCCGGCTGCTGTAGGCAGTTGCTAAAGGCTCACCACCGCCCCCAACCCCATCTCCAGACAGCTGTCCTCGGCCAGCTGAAGCGAGTTCACTCTTGCCCCTTCCCTGCAGACAGGGTTTATGTTTTTGAGCACCTTGTGATGCTAGGTTCTACCTGAGGCTGTGTCCCTGTTTGGCTCTTTTTTGCTTCCCTCCCTCAACTAGCCCCAGGCTCTGCTTCTAGGGAACCGAGGTAAGACAGCCCCTGAATTCCCTTGAAACTCAAATACCCCAATGGCTGGGCTTCATTGGGTTGCCCCAAAGGTTAAAAGGCATATGTATACGTTTTAAAATACAATATTAAAGTAATTACCACCACCCTTGGTTTGTTTTACAAGATTCTCATTGGACGGTCATAATCACATTTTCTACTTAATTCAGTGTGCATATATTTTAGGTTTCACTATGAGCCGCTGTGCCTGTAAATAAGCTTCTAGTAAAATTATTAGAATATGACAAACTTCTATCTGGTCTGATAAATTTTGTCAAGAAATTTTTTAAGCATTAAGCATAGTCAGGACTCAGTGGTACTAAAGTTTTCTGTGTGTTTTTAAATTCCTCTAACCCATCTCATATAATTTATGATTTAGAAACATATACATATATATATATGTACATTCAATGTAATAATCACCAGGAAAGAGCACATACTTAATCCTCTCTAGTAAAATAGGCTGTTTTCAACTTTCTGTGAATTCAGATGATCAGATGATGGAAGTTGTTTTAGGAAACAGTGACTTGATTCAGGCTCAGGATATTACCATAGTTTACCCCGTGAGGCAGGCAAACCCCTGTGGTGGTTCCCTGTATGACTTCAGGACCAAAACGGGAGGCTACACAAAATTATTTTACTGTTGTGAGTAATACTACTGAATCTCTCACATTTTTGTGGCTCTTGCTAACACATCTGAGTGTTCCTATATTTGGGGGGATTCCAAGGAAGGGTGGAGAGGGTAGAATGGTGATTCCTCTCTGCTCCATGGGTAAATTCACCAGGGCTTCTTAGCTAGAAAGTCCGTCCTAATACATGGGGTCCGTCGATGAAGCCCAGGAGGGAGTTCCCGTGCTTGACCAGCAGGGCGGTCCTGCTCTCTTACGTCTTGGCAAAGATTCAAGACAGGAGAGATGTCCGGGAGCTGCGTAGGAACGCGTGTGTTTGCAGGAGGGGGGCGCAGAAGACAGCTCAGCTTTTCAAGAGCGTCAGCGTCAACCCAGAAAAAAGAACCCAGAGGGCCAGGGACTGTGAATGAGGCGCTCCTCCTTGGAAGCCTATCAGTAGCAGAGTCACAGATGAAAGCCCAGGAGGAAGAAAAGGGTGGCGGGGGTGGCGGGGAAGGGGACAGAGAAGACGCGTGTTCCCAGCGGAACAAGGCGGTGCGGGAAGATCCATGTGAACCTTCCGCTGGTCACGGGGAACGGACTGAAGGGAATGTTCGTGACCAGTGCTTTGCGTGGGGGAGACTATTCGCCAGAGTGTTCAGACAGGACAGATGCACACTGCATCGTGGGCAGTCACCCCACACGACCCTCTCTTCCCTCGGTCCCAAGCCTCAGATGAGCAGAGCGACGTGGCCTCATAGAATGACTTCGGGAGGATTCCCCCCCCCTGCTCTTTGGGAAACTCTAGGGAGGGCGGGTATTAGGTCTCCTCTGAATGTCTGATACAATTCAGGGTGAATCCATCTGGCCTGGGGGTTTTGTTCTTGGGTAGTTTTTGATTATCGAACTAATTTCTTTGCCGGTAATTGTTGTGTTCAGATTTTCTGTATCCTCCTGGGTCGGTCTTGGAAGGTTGTATTTTTCTAGAAAGTTGTCCATTTCTTGTAGGTTTTCCAGTTTGTTAGTGTATAATTTGTCATGGTATTCTCTAATAATTCTTTGCATTTCTGTTGTGTCCGTCGTGATTTTTCCTCTC